TTAAAAAAAAAAAAAAATCAATAAATTCTATAAAAATTTTTCCCGATTAATAATAATAATAAGAAGAATCTATTAAACAAATTATTTTTCCTCTCTCTCTCTCTATTTCTCTCTTTTTTTCTCTTTCTCTATGATTTCAAATCATCCATTTTGAAAAAGTTATACACGTTTAAAGTTATTCGATAAAATTTTTTTTTTAATGTTATTCGTGCGTGTGTTGTTTGTCTTTAAAAAAAATTTTTTTTTTTTTTAGTTTGATCCCCTAAATTTACATTTTCAATCGCATTAAAAAAAAAAATTAAATACTGTAAGAGGGTGGATAAAAAAAAAATTTTTTTTTTTACAGTTTAATTTTAAAGGGTGAATAAAAGTTTAATAATGAAAAAAAAAAAAAAAAAAACGTATTCTTATCTTAAAAAAGCAGACGAAGCGGAAAGAAAAAAAAAAATTTTTTTTTTCAAAAAAAGGAAAAAAAAAAAGGAAAAAAGGTTGGTTGGTTGGTTTCTTTCTTTCTTTCTTCCATGTGCGTCTGTTGGCATTACGTAACGTCGACGCCATTTTGATTATATTATGAGGGAAACTTTTTTATTGAATTTTTATACATTCCACAATGCTGCGATACATAATAATAATAATTATTATTATTATTTAAAAAAAGATAAAAATACTTTTTGTTAAGTTGTAAATTTTTAATTCAAAAAAAAAATAATAATAATAATTCCTTTGAGTTTCCATTGTTTCTTAAAAAAGTTTTTATCAAGAGATGACAAAAAAAAAAAAAACTCGAATCAGTGCAACTTTTTTTATTACTCCTTTGAGAGAATTTTTATTACCACTCGGTTGAAGGTAATCGACGTTGTGTTGTTCAGAACAATTTACAACAAAAAATTAAACCGACCTATTTAAACTCTTTGTGAACTTTTTGGTTACTCTTTTTACCACCGAATTTTTGAAAATTAAATTATATAAATTTTCGCTACTACTACTTGTTACCTTTCCTCATCATCATCATCAACATCATCATTATTATTTTTTTTATCAAAGGTAGTAAGCATTTTCAATTTCCGATTATCGAAAACGTAACGTTTTGTTGTAAATAAACGTGGCTTAATAATAATCAACGTTACGATTAATAATAAATAATCAACGAGTTTTTTTTATTCACTCTATGGAATTTTATAATAAGACGAAAATGGCGGCGGCGACTAAGAAGGAAACCGTCGAAAATTTCGTAAACTTTTCACCTTTTTAATAAAAAAAACGCGTTTCACTTTTTTTTTTTAACGTGGCGATAATTGGTCGTAGTTGTTTTTATTATTATTATTATCATTAATTTTTTTTTTTTCGGTTTTTAGTGAATTGAAATATAGTAATGATGATGATGATGATGATGTTGATGATGATAATAAAATTCGTAGGTTTTCGTTGTCGATCACGTTTAATTTAGTTTTTTTTTTTAAAAAAAAAAAACCCGATATAAATTTAAAACCATTATTATTATTATTATTTTTTTTTTTTCTTTTTTTTTTTTAGTATAAAAAAAAATTTAGTAAATTGGTTTGAGCCGTAAATGTTCTTTTTTTTAAAAAAGTGTAATTAGATTATCGTTTTATTATTTTTTTTTTTTAAAGCCGTTACATAATTTTAGCTACGAAAAAATATAAAACTAGTTTAATACTAATTATCATTAATTTATATCTTAATAATAATAATAATAATAATAGTAATAATAATAATAATTCTGGCGACACTTTGATATTTTTTCTTTTTTTCGTCGGAATTTTTTTATTGTTTAATCGGTCGAAATGTTTAACAAAAAAAAATCCAAAAAAATTTTAAGAAAAATATTTTTATATTGAATAATTTAAAAAACTGTCGTTATTATTATTATCATTTTTATTAATATTATTATTACTATTATTATTATTAGAAAACAAGGACAGCAACAACGGAAAGAAAGGAAAAAAAATCGTCGTTCATTTATTCTGCTAGATTTTTTTTTTTTCTTACGAAGTTATTAATATTTTTTATTTACTCTATGGTTTTTCGTGATTTTTAATTTTTTTAAAAATTTTTATTTACTTTATGACGTGACGTAAAACGAAATTTTTTTTTTATAACCCTAATTTTTTTTCTGCTTTTAAAAAATTTAATTAAACGATGAATTTCGCCGCCATTTTTTGAGGGTGAGAAAAAATTTAAGGGTTGAAATATTTTTTTTTTTTTTAAAAAGGTTTCCAGTAATGTTTTGAATTATTTCAAATAAGGGTTGATTGACAACGCGAAAGGTACTTATAGATAAATAAATAAATGTTTTTTTCGGCTCGGTAAATTATAAATAACCTTATTCCGCTCCTGAAACAAGGTTTCAAAAAAAAAGAAACAATATTTCTTATTTAAATTTAAAAAAAACCTTTTTTTTTTTTTTTGGTAATTTATTATTTGATATTTTGCATACAACTTAATTTTTACCATTTTTTCTTTTCCATTTTTTCAATTCCTTTTCTTTCCTTTTTTTCTTTTTTTTTAATCCTTCGTTTGTATTAAACTTTGCATCTTTTTTTTTTTTTAGTATTATTTATTAAATTTTTATTCGAGGGTTTTTTTTTTATTAAAAAAAAAAAAAAAGTTAATTTTTTCCTTTTTTCCTTTTTTTTCTCTCCTTTTTTTTCCTTTTTACTCAACGTGAATTAAACATTAAATATTTATAATTTTAATTTATGTAATTCAAAACCGTGAAATGTGCATTCAAGAGTAAAACAAAAAAAAAACGTAATTTATTTACCCCGTTTATAATAAGCAGTATAAAAAAAAGGAAAAAAAGGAAAAAAAAAGGAAACGCGTAACGGTAATTTTAAATTAATTTTTTTTTATTAATAAATATTATTAACGTCGTAGCAGAAGAAAAAAAAAAGTAAAAAATTTATTATTTTGCATCATTTAACATATTAAAAAAAAAAAAAATTTTTTTTGTGTTTTCACGTTAAATAATAATGAAAATAATGAATTCGTGTTATTATTATGACGTCATTAATGGAAAAATTTTGACAAAGGAAATAAATTTTTTTCTTTTAAGGAATAATTAATTTGATTATTGAATTCGTTATTTTAAATAAAAATTTAATTACGTTCGTAATGTGTAATAAATGGATAAGAATGGAAAAGGAAGAAAAAAAATTTATGTCAAAGGAAAAAAGGAAAATCGTTCGCGGATTTCATTATAACGAATTTAAAATAATATATAAAAATTTCATTTTTTTTTTTTTAGTTTTTTTTTTTTTTAAACAAAATGAAAAAGTCAAAAAAAGAAAAAAAAAATTTGAATTGCTGAATAAGTAAAACTTTAACTCGTTCTCCATTTTTATTTTTGTTTAGGGATAAAAAAAAAAGGAAAAAAGGAAAAAAAAAAGGAAGGAGCAATTCTTTTTTAAATTGCTCTTTGAGTCTTTGCATAATTTTTTTTTTTTTTCATTTCTCCTTATCTTTGTCATTAATATTCTTAAATTTTTCTTTTGTTTTACAACTTTCTTTATTGTTATTCTCTCATTTATTCATTTCCTTTGTTTCACTCTCTCTCTCTCTTTCTCTACTATCCTCCCTCTCCCCTCCCTCCTCTCCCCCTCTTATTTCTCTCTCATCCTTTTATTTTATTCTTATTTTTAAATAAAATTTACCTTTGGCTTTTCTTTTTTTCCTCTTCTTCCGACTCCCCCCCTTCTCTCTCTCTCTCTCTCTCTCTCTCTCTACACATAAATAAAGACTTTTTCTTATCTTATTATTAGCATTATTATTATTATTATTATTATTTTCCATTTAAAGTATCTGTAAATTTTATAAGGGATGTTTTTTTTATTTTATTTCATTTACAAAAAAGTTGAATATTTTTTTATTTTTTTATCACAACAACAACAAAAAATTCGTGGATTTTGTTTTCGCGACTTATTTTTTTTAAATAAATAAATAAATAAAATAAAATAATCGATTAATAAATAATTAAATTATTAATTAATTAATTAATAACTTGATCGATGAATGACGTAAAACTTTTTATTATTTCTTATTAATTTTTTTTTTTTTTTGTAATTTATCGTCACTCCATGAAAAGTTTTTTTTTTTTTTTTATTTTAATAAGAAAATTTTATGATTAATTACTTTACTTTATGTATTTATGTACATAAATTAATTAATTACGCGTTTACATATATATTAATTTTTGTTCATGGGAAAAAACGAAAAAAAAAAAAAAAACTTTTTTAAAAACGAAATTATAAAAAAAAATAAGAAAAAATTTACGAATTTTCCCCTCCCCTCTCCCCCTCCCCCATCGTTTTAAAATTCCGTTGAATTATTACGTAATATATAACGGAAAAATTACATTTTATTACCTTATTATTTATTATTTATTAATTTTATGTTGTTATTAAAAAAAAATTTTAAATTTTTTCACTTAAATAAAAATTAATTTTTCGCGATGGATTAATTAAAAAATTTCACGTCGTCACATTATTATTATTATTATTATCTATTAAAATTATATTTTAATAACTTTTATTTTAATTATTATTATTATTATTTAAATTATTAATAAGTAAAAATTTTTAATTTTATTTATTTTCGTTAAATTTTAACTTAACCTTTTTTGTTTAAAAAAAAAAAATGTTTTTTATTTTGCCATTTAAAATGTCATTTAAAATTTTTTTTATTTTATTTATAAAGAGCTGTTAAACTGTCAATTTATATAATTTATAATAAAAAATTAAATTAATTACAAAAAAAAATGAAATTGTTTTATAATAATAATAATAAATGATGGAGGAGGGGGGAGAGAGGAGGAAAAAAATGATTTATCGATTTGTTTTTAATTATTATTTTATATAAAAATTTAATTTTATTTAATTACTATTATTATTTTTAAAAGAAAATTTGTTTTTTATAAAAATGGCGTCAAATGATAATAAATAAATGATTTTAAAGTAATTTTTTCTTATTTTTGTTTACAGCTTGCAATTGTAATCAACATTCGAAAAAATGTCGGTTCAATATGGAATTGTATAAATTATCGGGAAGAGTGAGCGGAGGTGTTTGTCTCAAATGCAGGCATTTTACCGCCGGAAGATTTTGTCATTATTGTAAAGAAGGTTATTATAGAGATCCTACGAAACCGATAACTCATAGGAAAGCTTGTAAAGGTAAGTTTTTAATAACTATTATTTATTTATTTATTTATTTTAAAAAAAAAACGGTTAAAATTCGTTTTCGTTTCGGTTAATTCAAAATTTAAAATGGCGCGTACAAACGATTACATTAAATATTAAAATTTCTGAACGCGCATTTATAATTTGCGCGCGTGACGTCATCGTTCGTAATGCAACGAAACGTTTCGCATTAAAAATCATAGAGTGTCAAAAAATTTAACGATTTGTTTCGGTAAATGCAAAATGGCGTACGGATTTAATAATTGATTAATTTTTTTTGTTTTTTAATTTATTTATTCGTTCGGTACGCGTCCATGTTTGTTTTTTTATTTAAATATATTTTATTTTATGTTTGTGAGGAGGAGGATAAATAAATGAAAAAGAATAATCGAGTAAGTTTTATTAAAGTTAAATATTTTAAGTAAATTAATTACAAGTTTTGTCCTTTTTTTTTTATTATTTATTAATCTCCAAAAAAGAGATTTTAAAATCTCTTACTTAACTTTCTTTTTAAAAAAATCTCATTTAAAAACTTTACTTATACATTATTCTTATATATATTTTTATTTGGGGAAGCAGGGGGGAGAGGGAAGGGGGTGAAAAAAGAAAAAGAAAATTTACGAGTAAAATAAATTAAACAACAAATGGGGATGCTGTGTGTGGGTGTGTGCGCGTACGCGTGTGTGCGCTTTTAGATAAATTAATGATAGTTTATTTATTATGCGTGTGTTTTTTTTTTTTTTAATAAAATTTTCTTCCTCTGTCTAAGTATACATAATTTTCTGATAAATAAATTTAATTAACGTTTTCTTCTACCGTTAAGGTAATTTCTACTATGATAGAAAAGTTTTTTAATTATTGTTAAAGTTAATTATTTTTCTATCTCTTCGTCAGCATTATCATTATCAAGAAAAATTAATAAATAAATAAATAAACTCGTGACGTATATATGAAAAATATTATTAATAATTTTTATAAAAAATTTCCGACATTTTTTTTTTCGTCGTGTTTTCAGTCGTTCGTAACCGCATTTTTTTTTTTTAAATTTTATTTCCGTTGTCATTCATAACTACTTCCTGTTTAAAAAAAAAAAAATCATATTTTTTATTTATTTATTTATAACACCTATTAAAATTTTATTATTGTTCTTTTAAAAAAAAAAATTTGGCCCGATATAATATACAAAAAAAAATGTATTCACATTTGTCATAGAGTAATAAATTACGGAGGAATTCATCCATTTTTTTTTTCTTTTTCTTGGCGGATTTTTTTTTTTTTTTTAAAAAGGGAAAGAAAATTTTTTTTTTTTTTTACGATCCGTGTATTTTTTTTATTTAGTAAATTAATGACGATCGCACGTTTGATATTTTATTATTATTATTATTATTAAAAGTTCAAACGACGTATATATATACATTTTTTGTGCAAAACGAAACGAAAACGTAAATTCACCAAAGAAAAAAAAAAAAACGTAAATAATAATAATAGTATGAATATGTGCCGGGTGACGCGTGACGGTTTCACCGCCTTGTTTATTATTTACATTAAAATAACGTCATAAACATAAAGAAGAAAAAAAACTTTTTATTTATTTATTTATTTATTTTGTTTCCGCAGTGCAGTAAATTTGTATTATACGTTATTATTAAAATTATTATTGTTATTATTATTAAAATTTGGTTTTCATAAAAATTTTTTACGTCGGATGATAAAGTGTAAAGCCGCATGTGTGTGCGTGTGCGCGTGCGGAAAAGGGTATTATGATATTTTTATCACGTAATAATAATAATAAAATTGCCAGGTTGAAATACTCTCACGAGTGCCATTTTCCATGAATTTTCCATGGAATTTTCCTCAATTTTTTTTTTTTTTTTTTAATCATCGAGTGATGAGTATCCTTTTCGAAAAACCTTTTTGCCATTTCTTTTAACCTTTTGGATAATGTCCAAAGAAAGAAAATGAACCATTTCATATTTTTATAAGAAACCATCCCTTCCCCTCCTTCTCC